ATTGTTACGGAATGATGATGCCAGTGCCATCATAAATTAAGTAGTCCCTTATGAAGCTTTCAAAGAGCTTTGGTAGTGGTAAAGAAACGACCATTATATCTTATTAAGATCTTTTCCTTTATGTTTAGTATATGGAATGCCAATCTGAGAAAATGCTGCAAAGGGTGTTCATGTTACAAAATCAGCCATAAGAATTTTTGTTGTAAATAAATTTAATGAACACTGCCATAAAAAATAAAACAGCGATATTTTCTCCTATATGTGAACCTAAAAAACAAAAGAACAACATACATTTGTGTTAAAATATGGCAGACAGCCATAATTACAATACTAGAGAGAAATAATATTTAATACAATCCTGAAATCGTTTAAATAAAATACACATCTATATATAAAAAAGGTACCTACTTGTTATTATGTATTTTTATGATTAAGGATTATTTTGTAAAGATAAAGGATGTTTGTTTCTTCATATTACCTTAAAGTGTAGTTTTCTGTGATATTTATTTTACTTATTTTTGTATACCTTAATATTTTACATTTACTTTTGATGGCTATAAACACAAACACAACAGGTGTCCAAAATAAGAAATACATTTATCTATCATTAATAATAATAGTTTATTTGTTACATCATATACCTAGAATAAGTAAGTCATAATATACAAATAAAAAAATATTAAGGAATTAATTAAAGTACAGAACACAAAAAAATAACAACTCGTGCTTACTTGCCAATAAATAAAATTTTTAGCTAAACTTGGGGGATACTAATTATTTGATAAAAACTTTAAGAACTTTAAATAAAGTCCAGGAATTTTATTTAAAAAAAAAATAAGCACAATTTGTTACTAATTTTTAAGTAAAAGCAATTGCCTAATTTTTATTCACACTGCCCATATAATTACAGAATACAAAAAATATATCTAAGACATACAATTAGAAAAACATTTACCTTAAAATACGGTGGTATTCAGACATTTTTTTAAAAACAATACTAAATATTTTAAATTTTCCTTTTAAAAGGTTTATACTTCTTTTCAGATTTAATGAAATAGGGATTTGTTTAAAAAATATAATTCCAACATGTAATTTCTCAAATAATGAATGTTTAGGGTTCTGAATAAATTTGCATTCCATGTTTGATTATTCATGGTAATTTGAATTTAGTAAAAATTTGTGAATGTTATGTTTAGTTGAGTAGCATATAGCAATGTTTTCTAAATGTAAATACTGTGAAATAGTAGTTTGTGCAACAATAGTGGATACAGACAATCCACTCGAATTGCATAGTATATTTTTTCTACGACCTACTAATGAAAATCTACAAATTTTCAAAATTATTTTAGGTTATTAAGACAAAATGACTAATTTTAAAATAATTTTTGATTTTTACTAATATGTAAAATCAAATAAACATGAAAAAGAAACAAGATTTAATTTAATTAGTCCCCAGCTCATATTTGAACCTGGGTCTCTCGCATGGAAGCCAAACGCCCTTTTCTCACCACCACCGCCACATTTACTATTTTAGTTGCAATAAATTAGTTTCATAAAGTTTGATTAATATATGATTTATTTATAAATGTGGACAAAATAAAAATAGAGACTCAGTTTTACATATAACTAAAAAATATACTGACAATTAGTTTGACATAACTGTCAGTCGTATAAAATTCAAAAAATAATAGTAGCCGGGTTATCAAAATATGAATTGTCATTGGTGGATTTAATTTTTTTGCAGTGTTCTTACTAGGTAGAATGGAGATGAAATATATTCCTTCAGGTGAACGCAATGGCATACTTTTTCGTTATTATTATACAGTCAATGTACATGTAAAATGATAACACAATAACTTTGCAAAACATAATAAAAAAAGTATGTGCATAGGTAAGCTAATATCCATGTGGGTGTAGAAAAATGTAAAACTTTAAATTGTTTGAAATTATATTTACAAGTTTGTATTAATTATAAATTAAAAATAAGACTGATTATTCTTTTCTTCAAGATAAATATTTTAGAAGCATTGACTGCATCACCCCAAAGAATGCGATATTATAATAGGCTAAAGCATAGTAAACATTAAGCAGTTGCTCTTGGGTAAATATTGATTTTAAGTTTAATATTGCACTGTTTAATTTTTTACAAACATTAGTTGTTTGGACTGCCCAACGAATATTACTATCAAAATGTATGCCTAAAAATATTGGAATACTTTCTAACATTTATTTTACTTACATACTTGGGTAATTTGATTTCTGAAATTAAATTGAAAGCAAACAGTTTTGTTTGAGTTAACAATTAAATAAATAACAGCCTGATGTAAATTCATTGGATAAAACATTTAATTTACTAATTAGTTCATCTACTGATAAGGAGTTCCTGGAAATTGCATCATTTGCATATAAAATTAAATTTTCAGAGTTAATGCGATTTGGCATATCATTTATCTAACCTAGAAAAATTAGAGGTCCTAAAATTGATCCTTGAGGCACACCTAGATCTAGTTCAGATTTACAATTACCTACTTTGATATAGATATGTCTGCTATTTATATAATATGATAACTAAGATAAAAAGTTGGTGGTTCCAGGTGCGTTTCTTATCTAGGATAATCCCTCCTCCCCAAAAGGAATGGTTTTCCCGGCCAAGGTAAGTTGTCGAAGCTTGTCGAGTTTTCTTCTTTTGGTGAAGGGGACGATAATAGTTTTCTGGGGATAATAGACATCTTGTCTCTCTCTCGCACCATTTGTTGATCATGTTTAGGGCTAGTAAGGAGATCACTTCTTTATACTTCCCCCTAACTTTTAAATAAGTAGATTGAATCAAAAATATTTGATAAATGAAAGAAAAATTCACCCACACACAATTTTTGATAAAGAGACGAATGTATGAAATTGCTGCACTTTCTATAGTAGATTTTTGCATTTTATTTCATATTTTATGATTTATCATTGCTTCACATTTAGTTCGATCTTTTGGTACCTTATCCCTCTTCACCAATCTATCAATTTTTTAAGATTATCATCATCTCAACCATTTCCCTTAGCAGCATCCATTGTAAAACTTTCCCATTCTGAATGAAAACATTTACTATTCGCTCAGTGTGAAGTCATGGTAGGGAAAGCAAAAGCTGCGGATAATTCGTGCATTTTAGGGCGATATTTTGTAATTTTGGCATAATCAAATACACGTATACATTTTACTTTTTTTTTTTTTTTTTTTTTTTTTTTTTTTCAAAAAAGTAGGTAAAAACAATACAATAAGCAACCGGAGTTGCTGTGTTGAAAATTGAAAAAATATTAGCAAAAAAAACAGTGAATACCTATTATAAAAATTTTCATTAACAAAGTGGAAATTAAATCAAAGAAATAAATGGATAGGTGTACAATAAGAAGAAAAATTATCTTTATTTTTGTAATAACAGTAATACTGGAAATAGTAGACATCAGAAACTTGAAAGGTTTCAACATCCCTTTATTCTTAAATGTACATTCAGCAAGGACTAGATTTCCAGATTTCTGCCTTTGATTATTGTATGTGGCTGAATTGCAATTTTGTGATTTCCTGATAGGAAACCAGTTTTAATCATTTATTCTATGTTTTCTTTCAAACAAAAATGAAAATATAAATAACTATCCTTCTGTTTAAACATTTTAACTTCACGATATTATTTAATGGTATTTTTTTATTTTGACAGAATAGGTTTTCTTCAAAGACAACTTATTAGACTTAGGCAACTTCTCATACATTTTCCCATAAATACTGTTGCCTGTCCATATTTTATTATTGATTTTTTTTTGATTATACTTAATTTTTTTTAATTTAAGCGATAAAAATGTATAATAAAATAAATTAATGTTTTACTTGTTTTACAAATCCATATACTTTTATTAAAACTAACATATATATACTTTTTAATTACGAAATTGTATAGTCAGCATACGCAGAAATAGTCCATTAGTACCCTAAATGAATTGGCGCTGCTGTCACGCACGGAGCGAATAGAAATCAAATTTTTCAATTTTCACTCCTTTCACGGATTTATCGAAAAAGACATCATAAAAATGTTTTTAAGCACATAAAAATATATCATTGTTAAATAAGTACATAAATGATATTTTTACAATTAAATAATAATAATAATAATAAAGTAACGATTGTTTAATTTAAAACTTAGGCACTATTATAACTCACAATTTTAATTTATTTATTACAATTTGTCTTTACTATACAACACTTTTATTGAAAACTTCACATCTTCCAACAAACTTGCGCTATTTATATAAAGCCAGCTCTGTACTAGAATTTCTCGGCGATCTAGAACGTCCGAGAACTCCTTCTTTATGACTCAGCCGCCGCGCTGCGATATCTCCAGTAGCTTCTCGAAGGAGTGCGTATGTCTATATGGCCAGCGCTAGACTTATATCGCGGGTAAGGTAGTAAACAAAGAACAGAGTTTGCTTTGCGCGACAATATGTTTATTCATCTCAATGGTACAAATACAAAATTGTATAAAAAACAAATGTTTAACAAAGGAAATACATAGAAAGGACCACAGAAGTAGTATTTAAACTAGTACTTGTACGTGGTATGCATATAATGTATATCTTACAAATACTAATACTAATACAAAAAAATAGATTAAATTAAAACAACAGCTAGAGAAAACTAAATGACTAAATCGAGATTAACAATCAGTATAAAAACAAAATTGCTTCATAAGACACAGTTGAGTATATAGACAATTCAGTACAGACATAATTGAGTACTTAAGGACATAATTAAAGTTTATTCTAATTAAGGCTAGCATTTAATATAGCTCCACGCTAGTAGAAAAATCATATTTTGTTTTGTTGTCCACTTATTAATAGAATTATCACTTTGAAACATCCTGTATATATAAATTATGTGCGCTATAAAACAGCCTACTGGATATTTTTTAATAAAAATAGATCTGATTCGAATCAAATATCAAAATGACAAGTAGATTAGAGACATGAGTTCAAATTTAGGTAGTACGTCAGAAGAAGATCCTCCTATACGTTTATTGTAAGTACTAACTTATAAGCAAATCTACTGAAATCATATATAATTTAGCATCGAACCGTTTCAGTTGCTGTTCGCCAGGAAAGCCAAAGGCTGCCTTTGGCCCGCTATAAAATTGGGAAAATCGAATTTCGTGCCCGACGGGTATAGGGTGTACTATTTTCGAAACAAAGCGATACAAGAAACCACTCCCAAGAATGTAATAAGCGATTTCAGTATACTGTTAGATGAAGAGGTTAGCTTCAAGTACGACGGTAGAAAAAGGGGCTTGGTTGAAAATATCCAGACACAGAATTTGATACCTTATTTCTTTATAGTTGCCAATAAGAACCAGTTGTACAAAGTTTTGTACAACGATGTTTATCTGAATAGAAGACAGGCATGGAGAATACTCAGAAAATATTCTGACGAGTCTCATGTGGCTGATTTCAATGATTTTTAAGGATGTTTTATAGTTTTCCATATTAAATTTTTGTAAGGGTTTTGGCTAAATGCCCAATAACAATGTAGGTGGTGCAATACATTTTTTAGTAATAATTGCAGGTCCTGTAGCTTTGCTTTCATTCAACAGTATGGAAAAATATGTCAATGACATCAATCTTTTCAAATCTACTGGAGTACGTTTAAAAACCTCGCCCGACGCGTCTGACCCCATACATTAGAATAGGGTCCAGACGCGCCGTGCGAGGTTTGTAAACGCACTCCTACAGAGGTCCCCAAACTTTTTTGGCTCGTTGACCACTTGCCATGTTTTTGGTTTTGGGTAACTACTATTGCATCTTTGAAAATTCAACTTCAAATGTGTTTTGACTGATTTCTAACTGTAGTGAGGTGTAAAAGAAAAAAAAAACATTTAATTTTTGTACATTTATTAATGAAATTGAAATTACATAAAATCAATAAGTAAAAATAAACGCATTTTGGAGTGAAGGATGAACCTGCTGCTGCTATAATAATAAATTTTCAATATTTGGTATCAATTTAGTGAGGTTTAATCTTTAATCTTAATGTCTTTTGTTTTCTTTTTTTGTTAAAAGATTGACAACCACGTTGAATCCTTTTTTCACTAGATATCAAGACGGAAAAGTAGATCAAAACTTTCTCGCGATATACCATAATGACATACCATATATCTTTTTGAATCCAGAATAGCTGATATGCGTTTCTAAATTGTACCTTAAGTTCTTGTTTAGTGCTTATTCCGATCAGTTCCTCTTGTAATGTGACGTAATATCCGTTTCTTCAGCGTCACCATATGTATTGATTATTGTGCATCTATTTTGTACTTTCTAAAACTCAATAAACTGAACATGCTTCCAAAACTCCAGAACCGTGGTATGAGAATAATCTCAAGAACTAATAGATTTACTCCTATAAGACATATGTTATATTCTCTTAAATGGTTTTCAGTAAAAGAATTCAATTTTTCATATTTTGTTTTATAAAATTGTAAATCAGATAGCTCCAGAATATTTGCAAAAATACATCACTTTCAACAAAGATGTTCATTCACACAGCACAAGAAATATTAACATACAGTGAGAAACAGCCAAATGGAATAAATTCGGAAATCAATAAATGGCGGCGTGTTTGGAAAAACTCTCGGACACGTCGATTGGTATTTTTAGTTGCGCATTTTTTTTAACAAAAACTTTTTATGCTGGGTGTATCATATAACAGTGGCCAATTCAAATTTCTTATTTTAAACACAAAGCCCACTTGTACTGAAGCTCTAGGCTTATTGTACCCCTCACAGTTTCTATCCCATCAGATTGATTTTCTTGATGAATTCAAGAATATGTCTGATGGGCGCTTTCGCGATTTCTTCAGGTTCCGGATATTGTACCCCGAAGTACCATTCCCGTTCCCAGTTAAGGTTCCGGCAGTGGCATAGTATGTGAATAGGAGTTTCGTCCTCCTCTTCACATATTCTACATAGGGAGTTATCAGATATCCCTAAGAGATTTAGGTGTCTTCTAAGGCCGCAGTGTCCCGTAAGGAGTCCTATTACGGCCTTGAGTTCGCTTCTGCTAAGGTTTAGCAGTTGATGTTGTCTGCTCGTGGATGGCCCCTCTATGAATCTTTTGGACTGTCTAAGTCCAGGAAGTTCCACCCAGAGCCTTTGGTGTTCTCTTTTTATTTGTTCCTTTAACACTCATTTAACATGTTGGTATGAGATACCACATGTGGGTTCTGGTCCAATAAGAGTTTTTTCCGCTCCCTTCCTTGCTAGGAGGTCTGCTTTCTCTCCGTCATGTCCTGGCACCCATTCAAGGGTAACCTTGTTATGTTCTGCCAGAGCCTGGAGGGATTGTTGGCAATCAAATATTGATTTAGATTGTACTTCTACCCTTTTTAGTGCTTTAAAGGCTGCCTGACTGTCTGTCATGATAACGATCCTCTTATCTCTAAGAGAGTCATTTAGCATTACTTTGGCGCAGGCATTTATTGCTGTTACTTCAGCCTGGAAGACTGTTGTCAGTGACCCCAGGTTCAAACTAATTGTCCTTCCTGAGTTCACATGGTAGATCCCAGCTCCTGTGCTGTTTTTCATTTTCGAACCGTCTGTATGCCAGATTGATTCGTTTTGTTTTTCCCTTTTTTCCCGGCTTTTGGCCCTTTCTATTCGAGGAGCAGCCCCAAAGTTCGGTATTAGCCATTCATCGATTATTCGAACATTAAAAGAAAATAAAATGCATCCCTGTAAAATAATAGCAACTCAGTAGCTCATGGAAGACGATTTTGATAGGAGAACGCAATTTTGTGAACAAATGATGGCAATGTTAGATAATATGGTAATCCAATGATGAACATGTTTTGTGTCTGATGAGTACCTTTACACTTCACGGTCATGCTAATCGTCAAAATTGTCGCTATTGCTCTAGGGAAAATCCTCACTGGATGAGAGAACATACGCATTACCCTGAAAAAGTTAATGTTTGGGCAGGAATTGTTGGCGTCATATTATAGATCCCTTTTTCATTGATGGAAATTTGAATGTCTATAATTATTTAGCACTGCTCCAAAATAAATGTACCAACTTTAACGAACTTTTATCTCGATCCAGCAAACCCACAAGTTCCAACGAATATGATATGGTTTCAGCAAGATGTAGCACCGCCTCATTACCAAATCAATGTCCGGTATTACATCAATCGAGTATTTCCAAATCGGTGGATAGGGAGGCGAGGATCAATGTACGTTCCCCTGATCTGACATCATTGGTCTTTTTCTTCTGGAGATGTCAAAAGTATTGTATAAAAAACTAAACTTCTCGACCTAGCTGACTTAAGAAGACGAATAATGCTTGCGATTAGATCGGTCACGCCTGAGATGTTGAGTAACGTTAGAAGACATTTTTATTTCAAATTAGGATGTTCGTGACGAGCATTTTAAACATTTCCTACATTGAGATGTGTCTTTGTTACACCATTAAGAAATAACAGTATGACATTAGTTTTTGAGTGTGTTGTAACGAATTTCTGTAATCAAATTATTTTATTTAATGTTAATTTTTGCAATAAATCGGAAAACATTTAATATTTCCGAAACAGATACATAAAATATGTCTAGAATTTTCTCAAGTATCCATAAATTGAAAAATATACAGGGTGTTGCATTTAAAATAAGAAAGTTGGTATTGACCACTATTATATGAAACATCCTGTATAAAAAGTTTTTGTTAATAAAAATGCGCAACTAAAAATACCAATTGATGTGTCCGAGCGTTTTTCCCAACACGCCCCCATTTATTTATTACCGAATATATTCCATTTGGCTATTCCACACTGTATATATTTTGCGAACTTGTTATAAAAGTACCATGGATTCATGATTTTTTAAAACTTTCTCAGATTTTTTTATTAGTAACGTTGACAACCGCCAATTTAGTTTTATTTAAAATTTGAAGTCTAACACCATCTGTTTGAATTGTTATTTTTCAGTCGATACCTATGCCTATCCATGTTTTTTTTTATTGTACTAACGCTTAAAGTAGGGTTGATAGATTTACGAAAGGGAAAACCGAGACAACGGTGACGACAGGGGATCAGGTTAAAAAAACAAGTATTTTTATAAAATCAGGTCTAAAAAAAAAGTCCTCAGCTTATATTTTTAATAAACCAGGACCTTTTAGCGAGCTTCTAAAAAAAAGAGGCCCTCAGCCTATATTTTTAATAAACCAGGTCCTTCTGGCGAGCTTCTAAAAATAAAATAAAAGGAAGGTCCTCAGCTTATATTTTTATAAACCGGGTCCTTTTTCTGACGAGCTTCTAAAAAAAGGTCTTACCTCTTCAAAAAATTATTTATATCTTTGGATATTTAAAAAGCGTGGCATTTAGATTAAAAGCGGCACATTTTCGTACTTTTTGGAGTGACGCGTGCCTGCAAGTGAAAAAACGGAACAATTACGCCTAAAGCGGGACGTCTGGCAACGCTAGTTAAAAGTAACAGTGTTCGGGTTGCGTTAGTTATAACCGCCAACTTAGTTTTCTTGAAAATTTTAAGTCACTAACCATCAGTCCATAATTTTATTTTACTCAAATACCATGAAAGATACTTGCTTTGCGAGAGACAAAAATGCTACAAATGAATACAGCTCTCCCTTTGTGGTAGGATTCGGGTGATTTTTACCCTTCCATGATTTCAGTTGGTATAATTTTTGCTTTGAACAATGGCTCTTCAATTAAAATAGCTACATACCAAATTTTATAAAACTCGAACTAAGCGTTTTTCTTTCAACTTTGAAGCTTTCTCACAGGCAAATTAAGCACTTTGTGATATAGGTAATTTTGGCTCAATTGACTTATTTTGATCTCACTAACATACATTAGCTCTATATACACGGAATTTTGGGACACCCTATATTAACTTGCTACTAATATTACTGAGGCCCTTCCTATGGGGCCTCAGTATTGCATTCGTGCAGACGAAAAAATTTTCTAACCCCCAGTTTTAAAACTTTTTTTTATGTTTCCGATCATTTTGAGTCCGAAAATGCAAAAAAAAATGTTTTGTCTGGTCGTCTGTATGTATGTATGCCGGCACTATAACTCTAGAACGAAAGTTTTGATTGACTTGCAGTTTTGATTTTCTTGAATAATTACTTCTAATTTAGAACCCTATTGATTTTCAGAATTTTCGGTTCATCCTAACTACTTTAATATCAATTTTCTTAAAATCCTTGTGTGACAATTTTAGGAATTTCAATTATTTCTAAAGTCAAAATTGCTAACATTCTTTACATTCCATAAATTGCAAACATTCTCTAACGACCTGTCAAACAACAGCTGTTGATAGTAAAGGCACAGTTTATAGCTTAAAAGAATCAGTTCGCTCACTCGGACTAATTTGATGTTCCAAAATAACATCCACTCCAGGGATACAAATTCAGGATGCGCAGAAGACTGCTGTTTGAATATAAGCGGTTGTCATATATTGTAT